AATTGGATTTTGGGTATTGACTTAAACCGCCCCCCCCGCCCCCTTTTTTTACCACTTTTCTCACCATTTTTAGGTAGAACTATCACATAATTCGCGAATTTTTTCATAGCTCTGCTTCCCGTGTTGAAAGCCATCAAGGGCTGTAGGTTGTGCACTGTCACCAGTGACGTGTTGGCAATTAGAAAGCTGTCGCTGGGAAAGCAGATCCTACACCGAGGAGGGGGTCTCTGAACATCCTTTCCCAATGATGGAGTAGGGAGTTTTTTTAACAAATGTCTGCAAATAACCAGGTGCACTCTCAGAAGATAAAACAAAAAAAACCCGCTCGAGTAAATCTGTCTTTCCCCCCGCCTTCCATAGGCAGCCTTCAAAATCCATCATGGATTATCTCTCGAAACCCGGGTTCCTCAGCGTCATCGCTGGAGTCGCGTGTGGAGTGTGCCTGGGGTGGGGCATTCGCGGGAGGCTCCTGAGGCAGCCCAGAGCCGGAATGACCGCCCCTGCAAACAACCTGGGGAGCGAAACAAGCATCATGGGAGAGTCCGGGGAGTTCAAGATGGTTCTGATCGTCCGCAATGATTTGAAGATGGGGAAGGGTAAAGTAGCAGCACAGTGTTCCCACGCTGCTGTTTCTGCCTACAAGCAAGTTCAGAGAAGAAATCCTGAACTCCTGAAACAGTGGGAGTACTGTGGCCAACCTAAAGTGGTCCTCAAAGCTCCCGATGAAGAGACTCTGATCCAACTCCTGGCTGATGCTAAACACCTCGGACTGACTGTGAGCTTAATACAAGACGCGGGTCGTACTCAGATAGCTCCAGGCTCCCAGACAGTCCTTGGGATCGGACCGGGACCAGCTGATGTTGTAGATAAAGTTTCCGGTCACCTGAAACTCTTCTAAACCAGGGACCAAAGAAAGCTGAATGCATTGATGTATGGCAGTACTGAAGGGATTAAAACCCAAATTTGGGGATTTTCTCTCAATATAAATAAAAGTAACCAGGTTTTGTAAAAGATTTATATTTGCAAAGTTCAATATTAATGTCTTTCATGAGTTTCTGTAGCGCGTTCTAAAGTGGGAAGGAAAGTGCTAGACTGGGTGGAGTTGAGGAAAGTAGAGCTGGCAGAACATTGCTACGCATAAGAATGAACCCAGTGTCTTTAATTAAGACTTGTGCAATTAATTGGGGATTTTGCTCTTTGGTTTACTGGCTGAACAAAAGCATTACTAGCATTTAAGTGAATTTGTTCCATGTGTTAAAAATTATAGGTTTCCCCTCTCTGCCTTACAGGAGGTTGTGTTGGTTTTTTTGTTGGATTTTTTTTTTTTTTTAGAGATACATTCTTTAATTCAGAAAAGATTGGCTGCTGAAGCAGTTAAAAATTGCCCCATAGAGCTGGCAGTAGCTGTAGCCAACTTCCTGCACAAACTGCTTCTGAGTTAAGTGATGCAAGAGCTTGTAACTGGTGTGGGACTGACCCCGTGAAGGAGGCTTTGCAACCCAGACCCTGGGAACCAGTAAACAGCTGTGGGGAGTGGCCGTGAGCCACGTGCCTTTGCGGAGGTGTTGGGGTAGCGTGTGCAGGAACCCACAAGCAGGCCCAGTTTAGCCAAGGTTCAGGATGTTACCCCACATACAAACAGCTTGTCCTACAGGGACTAACTTAAAGCCTGTTTTACATGGGATTAACAGGTCTCGGGTTTAAGGTGGTACTGTGAATTCCATCCTCGTGGCTCTGCTGTAGCTTTAACACTGTGAAATGCTGCACTGCTGATCACAGACTTCCTGCAAGTCTGTTCCTGTGAGAACATCTTCCCCGGCCTCAGCCCTGGCTCCACGTTCAATACCTATGAAATACGGTGTAAGAGAACAGAAGGATTTGTCTCAGTCAGACTGACAGAGCCACAGGGAGCGTCAGAGGGGTTGAAATAAAAGCATAAGCAAGTGCAATAAACAGAGACCTGAGGGAGTTTTTATACTGTACCTCTTACGTAAGCATAATACTTCGCAAAGACTGACACTACTCACTGCAGACTTTCGCTCCACCCCGCTCTTGAACAAAGACCTAGAGCCTGGGCAGGTTAAGTCCCCTAGCTGCCTACACCCCTCATTCCACAGGTGCTCAGATCACACCCCGCAACTGCGGAGGCAGAGGAGCAGACGGGAAGGGGAGTTGGCCTCAGGGCTGGAACCTGACAGCTCCTGGGTACCATACATGAGCCTCTACAGCTATCACAAACGGGGCCAGTGCAGTAATGCTCATTCCACTCAAATATGACAGTATTCATAGAGAAACATTTAAGTCAATTTTATTTGAAGCTAAATATATTTAAGGCAACTTACATACCTAGAACATGATCTCAATTTAACTGACACACCCTACTACAATCCTAATGTATCATCTGCACAAATACGCTGTAGTTGACCACGATGCAGCCAACTATTGCAAAGTGCTATTTTTCTTCTCTCTGGCATAATCTTTCTATAGGAAAAGCGTTACATATTTTCTTGTATTGCCCCCTCAGTGCAAGACCCCACTAACGGTCTCCGTTGCTGCTCTCCTAATGGCCCCTCATACCCCTGAATGCACGTGCCTGCATGCCCCACACTACTAGCACTGTAATACTTGGCTCGAGTTCAAAGGTCCTTTTTGAAGACATAAAGTGAAGCTACCACTATGCAGCATGTCCACAGTCCAGTAATTTATTTTTAAATTGAGTAATTTCAAATTGCACAAACAAAACTGAACAGCAATATGCTTGAATTCTCTCTTCTGTACACTCAAAACAGTGATCTAAAACACCACAATATCCAACATACACAAACCTCAGGGCAGGGTTAGTAAATACACAGATTGGAATCATGGTGCTCTGTTCCTGAATGGAATGTCCCACAAAAGCACAGGATACAGCACAACGTAAGGTCATCTGTTACATATGGAGTGAGCAAAAAGACACTAGCATTTTCTATATGCATAACTGGAAAAACCTGCATAGGTTAACTTTTACTCATTTTTAAGTCAGGCAAGGTTGTCTGTACGCATTTTAAATTCTTTTAGAGCTATGCAATCCAACCAAGGTAGGATATGCTGATTAGTGTTGTCTCTTGTCAGCAGTCTTGCAAGGTCAAATACAAGTATCTTCGCTTTAGCTTTCTCCGAATATACAGTGAGACTTAAATGCGTTTAGAATAGACAGTACATACCGTAAGCTGCTCACATACAATGAACTTAAGATTCAATATTAGAGTGTAACACTATAGAGTGCAAATCAGAATCTTCACAATAGACTTAATGGTAATAAGCAGTCCTGCGAAAGCCCACTTGAACAAAGTCGTTTAAACTATTCCCCTTTTAAAGTAAAGTCTAAATGACATGGAATGTGAAAAAGATTTAACATAAGTGATTCAAATAGTTTGCGCTAGAAAAAACAGTCCTTCATGAAAGGTTACAAGAACACGAGGCAGAACTCTTTGCTTTTCCCTGTTATGAATTAAAGCGGGGAGGGACGGTGGAGTTTCAGTAAGAAAATATGCTAGCTCCAAACTGACTTGTGCTGCCTCTTACATGCTGTACCCAAAGCCAGGCTGCGGTTGCCCGTAGGGGGGTGCAGTGTAGCCATAGCCAAAAGGTGCTTGTGGAGGAACTGCCACACTGGGTCCTGCTGTCAACATTAGCTGTGGCTGACCTGCAAGACAGAACAGCGTCATCTTTATTCCGAGAGTTCAGTCAGCAGAATTCCTGCACCTTCCCTGGAGACGTTTGCGTATTTAACAGTAACTCCCCAGTGTGAGCTAGGACAATCTTAAATCCTGCAGCCCATACCCAATCTTAGCAGCAGCATTAGCGCTGTACTTTATCTAGTATTTTGGAACATGTTCCCTTGAGACTCGATTTCACATGAAGAACGTTCCCATTTCCAAGGACTTCCTTGGCAAAAACCACGTCTCGGGAAGCACCGATTTAAAAGCAAAACGTGTTAGTGACAACACAAGAGCTAAAGCATTACCATAAACAATAGGTTGTGTTTCCGTAGCTTGCTCCTCTTCCTTTCTCAAAGACTCTGATGCATCCAGTTTATCCACCTGGAATTGAGACCAACAAATTAAAACAACTCCTCTCAAATAGGTACTTACTCATGGCAGAGAAGTGGAAAAGCCTTAGTGGTATGTTAACACCCATCAAGAAAAGGAGACCATTTACAAGTTAAGATCAATTCAAGTAGCAATGTTGGTACTGGTGCAGTCAAGATTGTCCGTTTCCTGAAAAAAACCCTAATTGAGGGATTTGTGGAACTTCTTTGAAAGCTCACTCCAGGCTGAAGCTTTGTATGAAAGGTCTCACACTGGACCGGAGCTGCTCTGACATCAGTGAGCTCATGAGTCACCGTTGCTCCAACTGCTTCAAACCAACAGCCTCGGGGCACAAACCCGGATTTTAGCACAATGTCAGTCGGAGACCTTTGGCACTGGAGCAATTGCTAAAATAATGGCCAGACCTGGAGAAGTTTCCCTGAATGTAACATCGAGGCAAAGTAATCTGAAGTTGGTATTGGTATACGGCAGACTGCAATAGCATCCGACATGTCACTTGAGCCTCAAGATTTCACTTTCCAAACCCATTCACTCATGCAATTTAAGTTCAAATGCAGAGAATGCATGTGTATAAGACTTGCTTTTTTTCCACTCTAGATCTGTGTGGCAGTCAGCCTAAACCCACAAATACTCAACTTGTTTGAGCTTAATACACAATAACAAGACAAGACTAGCCAGCTTCGCTCTGGCTGCACAGCAAGTGCAACTGTGCTGTTAGCCCACCCCTACAGAAAGGCAAGAGAAGAAACTTATTCTGTAGTGAAATAATTGATTGTTACTAAAACAGATCCAAGGAGACTCAGCGTTACTACAGTCTAAGGCAGGCCCTGAAACTAAAAAAACCACAAAAATTAGGTATTGAAATTTTACCTGGGAGATAAGATTTAGAATAAAAATCAGAGACAATCATGCCAATTACTTTTTAAGACAACAAGACAACTCACAAACCAGATTAATCTTTCATTTCATCTGTGTCCTTGATAAAGGAGTCTGAAGACAGGTTTCCTGTACTTGCACAGGGTTGGCATTACTTATTCAGCTACACCAACACCCATGAGTTGAACAGTTTTCAGCTTAACTGTGCTGTATCGGCAAATATTTGCGGCAGCTCTAACTGCTTTCTTCTGTTTAGTTGTGAATTACATGCTTTCCATAAACCTGTTAATTTGTAACCTCAATTAGAGGCATAAATCCAGGAAGTGGCGTAAGTCCTGAGCTTTCCGAGTTCATTCATTGACTGGGCTTTCATGACAAGCCTTTTTGTTGCCTCACACCAGTATCTGGCTTGCTGCTGTCAAAGAGCACAGGAGGATGCCAATGCTTCAAGACTCTTTTCCAGACTGCTGAGAACTGCACTGTTTTTAACTCAAATAGCAACACACTGAACACAGAAGCACAAGTTTAGAGATGCAAATCCAAGGAGAATGTGCAGAGTTTGCTGCTAAGCAGAGGCATTTGGCTTACCCGCACTTGGAAAGCCTCCAGCCCAGGACATTTAGTGCATTTTTGACTCAGTTTTAATGCCTCCCCTCAGAGCTAAACAAATATTTACAAAAACAAGCACAAGTTTGAAACCAGCCTGCAGGATGGTTCTTACACCACTTGCTTGAGCATCACCAGGTTCAGTACCCTACACACTTGTAGCAAGATTTTTTTTTTTTTTTAAAAGGCTTTTCCACAGGGACTGCAATAAGCTGCAGAGGAAAAGTAACATGCATTCAATGTTATTGTGTTATGTGTGCATGAAAAAGAGGCAAAAGTACTGAAGCAAGAGTGAGGTCTGAAGATGACTGCCATACAGGCTCCCCCCAAAAAACCACACGCAGCCCACAGCAATGCCTTGTAGCTTAAGGAATAGTGGGATGTAATTGCAATGACTGCTACACATGCGTAGTTTATGCAAACACTGCAGTTCGATTACCTTTTTTCACACACACGCTTTCTTACTGCCTCACTTACTAGCTGCTGAAGGACCTTACACTATGCATTTTAGTCAGGTTAGCCTTGAGTTCCAGTGGTGTAATTACAGACATCTTGTCACTAAGAAGCAGTTTGCATTTAGTCCATCTTC